TGCCGATGTGGTACCCTACCAGTTTCACTGGGGCACAGAGGTCAGGGTCCAGGTGGATCGGTTTGCTGTATCGATCCTGGATCTATGAAGGCTTTGCACATTATTTTTGTCTGTGTGTGTGTGCGTGCAAGAGCATTTATCCAAGGTTAGAGGGATGGCTGGAGGGAGGACGAGCCACTTTTTCAGCTTGCTGGAGTTGGTGTGGGTCCAGTAATTCTCTTCCCTATAGACAATGACGAAATATGCTGCATTTTGCATTCCATAAATAATGAGATGTGTAAGACTGTGTTTAAAAATAAATAAATAAATAAATAGTCTCTTAATCCCTGTGTATTTTAACTGTTTTCAGTGTGGCCTTGTTGATGTTAGGGTTCCTTTTACTGTTTGGCTAACGCATAGGCATCTGCCTGTCCTGGTTTTTAGCTGGAACGGAGCTGTGTTTCTTTTTAGCAGCTGAAATAGTGCTGCTTTTTGCTTTCAACCTGGGATTTGTAATGAGAGAGACACTGATACCATACCAGTGTTTGCATTTTTGTCGCTGGAAGTGAAGGAGTTCATGTTCTGTTAGTCTACAAGTGCAAAATCTAAGGGGATGAGGAATATTTAAATTAATAAGCTAAATTGCCGTTTGGATATGCCAATGGGATATTCCATATCATATCACATCATGTCCAGTATATTAGTGAGGGGCTCTTCCTCTTCTGTTCTCTCTGGCTTTCGCTTGGGCTCTCACTATTCTGGGATTGCAGTTTCAGTTTGGGATTGTCCTTCCTCTGGGATTGTTATCTGGGAATGGGCTTGGCTTGATTTGTCAGTGGAGAGCAATTGCACTGGGTGTCACTCATTTGCATATTGTTGCTGTCATCATTATCACTACTATTTTAATTTTTCTTTATCTTTCATTATTACTACTATTTTAAGTTTTCTTTTATTTCTATTATTAAATTGTTATCTCAACCTACCAGCCTCCTTATCCTTACCCCCCAATCCTCTCCCCTATCCCCTGGGGTTGAGGGGCAAGTGGGTGAAGGGCTGTGTTGGCTGCTGGCCGA